ACTATATAAATTTTCGAAAATTGTTTTCTAACAATTATATATTATATTTTGTCAAAAACATTTTCACAAACTATATTATTATACATACATATATTATATTATTTGTTTTGTTTCTTTTATTTTTATTTTTGTTTGTTTTCGAAATATCTTATTGTTTTATTATATGCAACTTTTCTATTTCTCCATTAAGTTGTTAATATATATTTACATACAAGATTGAAATTATACTTAATATATTTATATTTTAGCTTGATGTTTATTTTTTTGCCTTTATAATATATTAAACCTTGTACATTTTTAACGCGGTTAGCATTTTCATATGGTTAGAAAATCAATACACGAGTTATCGTGGCCAACTCAGTTGTGTCGGAAATTAAAAATTAATTGATGATACGAAAAATGGAATTCGGTACTTAAAAATGAACGAAGCTTGGTATAATTGCACAAGGGCAATTCCTTCCAAAACCAGCGACCTGGATTCCAGATAAGAATCGTTCTTTTCGGCGAATACTAAAATAAGAATACATTAGAATTAGAAGATAAGAAATTCAAAACCTGCCTAATTTCAGGAATCAAAGAGTTCATACACATCAATTGAACTACTATATGCGTTGCACACGTCAAAGTCCGCGTAAACGGTGACTAGTTTTCTAAGAATTTTACTATACATTTACTTGAATAGTGCAATCAATGATGCATGTGGAAATCACTGAATAATGAGTTCGATGACCCCATTGCCATCCTCATCGTAAACTATGCACCAAGGTGACAGATACTTTCCAACTTCAATCAATTTCCCAGCAAATTTCATCACCCCCCATTCCTCATTATCATCAGAATGTCATGTCAAATGTCCCACATAGTTTCTTTAGGGCTAAGACTTTTGATTATATTATATGATATGCAGTTGGTCCATTAGATTGTTTTATGTAATAAATTCTAAAATTAAAGTGGGGGACTGAAATCTCTATCTCAAACCACCAAAGTCATCAGTCACCTCTCCCACTTTGAATGTTTGAACCGCGCACTGAAAGAACCTTCTCTCATTTTTTTACACTCATTCCTTTAACCATAATCTTCAATGACGGCAAACCATTTCCCCACATTTCTCGAGGATGGAAACGCAATGGTTAATGTTTCTTTTTCTTGACTTTTGTTTAATTATAAAATCCTTTCATTTTCTTTTACAGTAACAAATTAATTCATACGTTTTAAAACAATCCAAAAAGGTAAAGAATTGAGGATGCCCATTTTGTACCTCTTTCCATACATGGAATAGGAGGGGCAAGTTTAAGGTCAAAATAGTGACTAGCGTTGGATTTTTATACGAAGTAAAGTGAATTCATAAAATTTTAAGAGAAAAAAATATATATTATCAATAGAAAATAAAAAAATATCTATATTATATGAGAATTCAAAATTTCTAAACAGAATTATTGTCTTCACCACTCTTTTTCGATCTATATCTCGAGTCAAAATCAATACAATCAAGTTGTGATTGTGTGGATATGAGTAAAATTGAGTGAATAGACATTTGCGTCCACCAAGAAATTAAAAGCGATTGTTGGACAAAAATTGATGCTTGCCTCGTTGTCTTGGTCTTCTTCATCTATGTGGTATAACAACTAATATATTTCATTCGAAGTAGATGTATATGAGAGACGTGGAGCTTTATGTGATCAGAGATTTAAGCATGAAAAAAATAAAATAAAAAATTCAGTTACGAACAGGTTATTAATTGATGTTATTTAAACAACATACAAAGTAGATAATGAATTTAGTCATGACTTGGATTATTTCTCTGCCTATTTGAATCTAAGTAGATTAATGTATATGAGATAGATTTTTTATAATTTGTGTTAACACCAAATTTAGCCATGACTTGGATTATGGAATCACACTGCATTCACGTTCTGCCTCTACCCGAGTCATACCAAATTTAAATAATGATATATCGCATGTCATGTCGTTCAAAATAATATTAAATTTAATTAAAAATTTTATTGTTAAAGTTAAATTTACTATTATATCAATTAAATATTACAACACTTTTTTTTTAAATAATATGATATGATCATAAGGTATTATTTGTTTAAAACTTTCTTAATCAGATAACAACACACACCTTGCAGATGCAGCTCCATAAATCTAGATCCTCTAAGAAGAACACTTTTTTTTACTACTAAAGCTGATTGATGAGTTTATATTACACCAACTTGTTATAATATGACAACTAGTGTACATTAATTAACCCTAAACCCTCAAATTATTAAGATCAATTACAAGCTTAATTCTTAGATTAATAGTCGGTGGAATCTTTATAACTAAGATCTCAAAAGTATGTGAATAAATTAAGAATTTATTTTAAGTTTTAGAGATTGGTAAGTTTTATTTTATGATATAATTATATTTAATATATATTGTTAATTTAAAGAAACATGTACTCTTGCTACATTTGTTCGTTAAAATTTTGTTGTTTTTCTAATATAAATTAATTATATGATAATTGTCTTGTGAACCGCTACGTAGCTTAATTTGTTTAATGCAATCGCATTTATAGGTTAATTATCTTAGGATTACATGAGAACTAAGCATTCAAGTAGCGGCAAACACAAGAAGTTGTCTGTTTTGTCATATTCGAATTAATCAAATAAAAGAAGCTTTATAAGCAAGCAATGAACTGGTTTAATATTTAAGCAGTTGGTTTAAGTCGAACTCATGTGTATAGTAGTCTTGATTTAAGTATTTAACACAGGAAAAAGATATAAATCGACTTCAAATTAATAAGATTCGAGATTTCACGCATCTCAAATGAAAACAATTCTTAAACGGGATAAATACAATATGCATATATATAATATATAAACGATGTTAAATATGATAATAATTATAAGAATTTATAAGAACTGAATTAAGCTATATTATATATGTATATAATTAAATAAAATAATTTCTATATATTGTATAATATATTTACTTTAAATTCGTGTGTAATTTTAATATTTAATATACTATTTTAAAATAAAATAAATATAAAGATCCTTAGTTACTATTTTTTTTAAATGATAACAAGAGCCAACAATATGTAGATGGGTAGTTAAAATTTCCCAGTTCACGTATTCCTTCTCCCCTAGTTGTGAGTTCAATACTCATTAGAAGTAAAATTTCCTTTCCTCCTCCCTTAAGTAGGAATTATTTAAACAAAACTGTAACAAGATGAACCCATTAAGCAACCTTAGAGGTTAAAAGGAAGTGTCCTCTCTAGTGGTTAAAAGGAAATGTCCTCTCTAGAGGTCATGAATTGTAGCGATTGTAACTACAAGATGTGTGCGCATTTACAGTTACTAAAAAATTTTCTGAATAAATATCACATTGTAATCACTTCGGACTATTTATAAAAATTGTTATTTCCAAGGTAATTTTTTGGTTTTTATTTCCTATGAAAGAAATTAATTTTTCACCATTTTTTAACAATTTAGATTGATTACAAGATAATATTTGTTTAGAGTTTTTTTATTGATAACATATATACATCCTACATGTATAATTGCTTAAATCTAAAACCTTCAAAATAAATAATATTCTCTTCTACCGATACTAAAATTGCTTAATAATTTTTCCTCTCAACATTTTAATTAAATAATAATAAAAATTTTGGGTTGTTCTCTCGATTCTAAGGCTTTGTCTCGACTAATATGGATCGACCTGCGTCGCACACCTAATTTTGGTGGGTGAATTAATCAGTAGGGATTTTCTGCATACACAAAAACTATAACTTAAGACATTACTTAAGCGATATTAAGTTACTTACTACTTGAATCAACCCCTCTTGACGAGATTACCCCTTACTTTGAAGCAACTTGCTTCAAATTTCAAAAACTATATTCACTTACACCACACACCAAAAACTCAATACAAAATAAGCTCATATATATATTATCACTGAATCATGAAATGAGAGGAAATTAAAATTTTGTTACGAAAAGCGATGATAAGCAAACATGATGGTCAGAGTATTGAGAAGTGAATTGCAGAGTTCCAAGTTGGCCAGCTTGGTATATTTTTTTCTCAAAAAAACACAGTGGAATCTGCAACCATTTTATTTGAAGCTGATGATCATACATGGCGTTAGCGTCGTCCCCGGAATCGAGCATGCTGTAGTTCAGTCATGCTTTTTGTATTTATTTTTCTCTAGAACTTCCACTTTGCAAGAAAAACAGACAGGCAATCCTTTTCGATGAAATGCAACTCTGGGCTTCCTTCAACAATCCACCAATATTCGATCCAAAAAATAATATGATAATACCTTATATATTAAAAGATAATTATGATAATATCTCTCTTAATATTATTATTATTTTCAATTAGATTATTATTTTATTTAATCTAATTAAAATCTTTTTATAAATATATATAGTTTTTTGAGAAATTATAAATATATTTAATTTGAATCGAGTCGAGTTCAAATTTTAACTCAAAAGATGTGTCAAATTTTGAGTCAAGTAGAATCATCATAAATTTAAATCGATTCAAATTTTAATTGAAGAGAATAAATTTTCTGAATCGAATTGGATTAGTCGTAAGCCCAACCTAACCCAACCCATGCTAAGATGCGTGAGTAGTACTTTACGTTTTAGACAACTCGTTAGTCTAAGGCCCAGATTCAGTTGCCAAAATGGCGTTTTAGTCATTTCCCTCGAATATAGGGTTTCCCGTTCGCATTTCGCGTCCTCAACCTCGGACCACCGCTATAAAACCCTACGCTCACTCACTCATAGCACATCGCTGCCCAGAAAGCAGTCACTCATTTATTTTTCTTCAATATTTTGGTTTAATCCTCTCTTGCTGTTTTTCCCCTTTCTTTCAATTCAGTAACTTTTGATAGGCGTTTCTATCTTCATTGGCAAATTACCGGAATTCAGAAGGCTTGTGTTAGATCTGTTGTTTTTTTTCCTTCACGGTTTTCCTTTTTTTTAAAGAATTGTTTTAAGAATAGAGCAGTTGCTTCTTACTGGTGAACGCTCTCAGATTTAACAGTGAGGGATGTTCATGTTTCCGAAGCATAAATTAAGAATTAGCCAGTTTTAAACAGCGCCGTGCATTTTTATTATTTTGCACCGTGCTACCTGTCTACTGGTATATGTCCGATCCATTCGTTTTGAAGTCTGAGTATATTTTTGAATTTAATCATGTAGTTTACTGTTGAATGAACAAGTGACAAATATCCAATAGAAAGTCGCTTTTAATTTCAAATCTAATGCTGTTTTTTATTTATTCAAAATCTATTGTTGTTATGCAGGGTGTTAGTCTGTTTGCTTGGATTTAAGTGTCGTATCATTGGCAAAGGATTCCATGATTCATGAACTCATCGTACTTGGTTTACTTTGTCCTTGTACTTGAATCGACTTAACACCTTCTAAAACAATAAGAACTTGATGCCTGGATCCAACCTTCGATTTTTCATTAAGCGTCCGGCGTCCCAGAAATAGACTTCCAAAGATCAGTTTATCATTATGTCTTAAAATAATTAACAATAGCATTATATGAGCACACTTTTTCTTTAAAACATCAAGTACGAATTACATTTTTTTTAAATCGACTAAAATACCCCTTTTTTAAATATATTACTAATTTAGTATATGAGTTATATTTTAGGTAAATTTATTTATCCATATTATTATTATTATTGTTATAGATAAAAATTAGGGGTGTAAAAAATTTATCTGATCTGCAAAATTGAATGAAAACAACTTGAGTCAAAATTATTTGTAATATGAGATAGTGATAATTTGAAATCAATTTGAGTTTGAACTAGTCTCGATCTGAATCCGAATTAAACTTTATAACTTACAACTTGCACCTGACCACTGAGAATAACCTGAGTTCTAATTCGACCTAATAATGTGATGTAAACATCAATTTTCAGCTTATGTATATTATATGTATATTATAGTATCAATAAACAAAAAAGGAAAAAAAAAGAGAAAAGTAAACGGCCTGGGTGTTCTGTCATCTCTACTCCCGGCTAGGGGTGCACAAAAAATTTGAATATTCGATTTTGTGAAAAAAATATTTAAAATCGAATTTGGGAAAATCGGTTTTTTTAACCGGATCAGATTTTTTTAAACTGGTTATTTTAATCGGTTTGGAGAAAAAAACCTAGACCGGTTTTTTTACCGGATAAAAAACCAGATTAAAAAAACCGATTAAAAAACCGGTTTTTATTCGAAAAAAACCGGTTTGGGTTTAAAAAACTAACCGTTAATATAGCCGTTTGGGGGGTTTTGTGACCGTTTTTGACCGTTTTTTCTTTAAAAATTTACCATTTTACCACCCTAAATATGTATAAATAAGTTGGGATGTATTTGGTTGATTACAACTTTCTCAAATCTTATTACACAACACCTAAACATCTCTCAAATCTTATTTTTGTAATTTTTTGTTCATCATGAGTAACACGGCTGAATCTTCCGTCGGGGGAAACCTTGAAGTCGTGAGAGTGATCGAACACACTCGAAACAAAGATATTTGGGATCACTATGATTTATGTGAGATGTCAAATGGCTCGAGAAGAGCGCGTTGTAAACTTTGTCTAAAGTTTCTTGCATCGGAAGGAAACACACGTTGAAGAACCATTTGACAAAATCATGCAAGGCACTTCGCTCAAGATCGGTTCCTAGTCAATCGAATCTTACACCGCAAGGTGGTGTTTTTGTTTACGACAACGAAAAATTACGAGAAGCGTTTACAAAGTTCGTGATTACAAAAGTATTACCGTTCGACCACTTTGATGATGAAGATTTCACGACAACAATTCAACAACTAATGCAACCACGTTATACTCAAGTAAGTCGTACTACCCTTAGAAGAGATGTTATAAAAATGTGGCGTACGACGAGGGAAAAAAATGATTTTAGGATTCCAAGAACACCGTTATGGTGTGTCGCTTACATGTGACGTTTGGAGTTCCCCTCATAATACCAGAAATTCTTTTTTAGCCGTTACGTCACATTGGTTAGATCAAGATAATTGGCAAATGATGAAAAGAACAATCGCATTTGAATTATTCGGTGAGCCGCATACCGGTGCTAATTTATTTACACTTTTAAAAGGGTAATTTGTCTTTATAAATTAAAAAATAAAGTTTTTTCTATATCCTTTGATAATGCATCGAATAATACAAACGCGGTTCCAAGATTGAAAATATTACTTTCATCGATTTTAGACGGTGCGTTTTTTCATACCCGTTGCGTTGCACACATAATTAATTTATCCGTGCAAGCCGGTTTGGAGGTTATTGAGCCGATTAGATTAGAATTTAAAACAATGATAAAATCGGTTCTTTGTAACAACAACAAAGACTAAATGATTATAAACGATTTTGTAAGTTCGTTAATAAAAAACTTTGGGTCCTAATTTGGATTGTCCAACTCGTTGGAACTCAACTTGGATGATGATGCATACTGCCTTAAGGTAAAGGGAAACATTGCAAACATTTCACGATCGGCTTTTCGAGATGGGTCATGTCCCAAACATTTATCCGGATTCGAGTTGGGAAACTATAGCCAAAATAACCGATTTGCTTGGGGTTTTTAAAAATGCAACAACTTTTTTATCCGGTGTTTATTACCCTACTAGCCCGTTGGTTCTTAATCAAATATTTTTGTTGGCTACCCGACTAAATGACTTTGAATTTGAAACCGAAGTTTTTCAAGAAATTGGCTTTGCAATGAAGGAAAAACTTTTAAAATATTTTAAGGAGATTCCCCCCATTTTTACTTGTGCCGCCGCTTTAAATCCAACGTTAAATGTTGGCGAGGTTGAAACACTAATTGAACAAATTGCGTTTGCTTTTAATCTAACCGATGATGAACCCAACTTTGTCCAAAACCAAATAAATTATTTTAACAAATGTTTTCGAGACATGTTTGCAATTTATTTAACTAAATACGGATCAAGTAGTGTAATACACGATCAAATGAGAATGAATGCAGAATCATCTAGTAGACGTCCAAGTAACATAAATTTGAATCTTTTTAACACTCTTGTAAATTCTCAATCCAAACGATCACGTACTACCACCCCAAGTAGCGAGTTGGGAAATTACATGTCATGCGATTTTCTATCAAAAATGACATTTGAAGAGTTTGAAAGTTTGGATATTTTGGATTGGTGGAAAGAAAAGGAAGCACAATTTCTGATTCTAGCCGCCATGGCCCGTGATTTACTAACCGTCCAAGCTTCTACGGTAGCTTCGGAATCCGCTTTTTCTGTTAGTGGCAGGGTTATATCGCAACGGAGATCAAGACTAAGTCCCGAGTCGGTGGAAGTATGCATTTGTTTAAAGGATTATTTGGATGGAGCGGCTCGTAAGCAACATATCACCACCCTAGAAGATGCAATTGATGCCGATTTGGAAGCAAACTTACACATTGAAGAAGTCGAACTTGGAATATCCCCTCCAAACGAAGAAGGCGAAGATGATGAAGAAGAGATGGCAATGTAGTTTATTTTTAAACTTTATTTCAATTATCGTAAACTTTGTTTCAATTATCGAACTTGAAATTTTTAAGTATTTGAATTTATCGAACTTGGAAGTTTTTAAGTATTTGAATTTATCAAACTTGGAAGTATTTAAGTATTTCAATTATGTTGAGTTAATCGATCGACGGAATCGGCCAAGAGGAGGTGAATTGGCAATTAAAATTTCGGTGGAAGCTTTTGCAGAAAATTGAAAAGATTTGCACAGCGATTTAGAGTGGTTCGACTTTCTCAATCAAAGTCTACGTCCACTACCTTAGCCATCCACAGTAAGGACTTTCCACAAATTCACTAATTTGTCTTTCTTTTGAGGACAAAGAGTAACCTTACAAACCCTCAAGAATTATACCCCAAATTCTTGAGAAAACTGATAACTCCGTAAAAAGACTATTTTTAAGGCCTTTTTCACTTAAGTTATTGTTTGTTTAAAAGCTCATTTTAGGCATTTTAGGATCATATAGTTGCATATAGTTGCATTTGTGGTGGTAGTACTATTTTATTTCTTAATGGTGCTATATGAGAGAAAGGTGCAGTTTTTTTTAGTAATGTGCAGGAAATAACAAACAAAATAGGCGAGTTGTGAAGTAATGCCGTGGCATCACACGTTGCTGAAGCAAATTGAAATGCCTTGGCATTTCTGGCGCAGAAAATGACAAAAATATATAGCTGTACATGGACAGCTGGCTCTGCACGTGAAATGATGGCTGTAACAGCCTGCTAGGGGACCACTGACACCTGGAGGATAAGGTTCATGCACAACATGTGATTCTAGGGGTATGAGGGGTATTTTGCACCCAACAATATCCCAACAACATCATCATTACCCCTATATATTTTTATTATATATTACACCTCACAAGAGAGAGAGTGTGTGGAAGGAAGGATACGCATACTGTAGCAGAAAAATCAGATTTTTATTTTCCCTTTTTCTTTCTTCTTCCTTGGGTTTTCCTCCATTGATAAAGCTTCAAGGAGTGGTGAGCTAGGAGCCGAGAGGAGCTAGCGAGCTAATGTGGTTCGTGGTGGCCGAGGAGACCTCTGGTGGCGCGCGTCGAAGGCTCTTTCTCACTTCCCTTTGCTCCTATTTTATTTATTTTATTTGTGGGTTGTTGGAACGAATATTTTATGGATTTTTCTATGAATATTTTGAACCCCACCATGAACTAACTTATTTGGTGGTGGTTGGTTTAATGGATGTTTAAACTTTATTTTTAATGGTATGTTTAAGTTTATTTTGGTTCTTTATTTGCTTTGCTTATGAATGCTTCACCATCTAGGCTTGTAAGAGGCATGGAAATGTCCATTTCTTAGATGAATGTTAGGTGTTCGGAAGAATCCTAAGCTAAAAATACTTGTAAGTATTCGGAAGAAATGCAAGACAAGATCCTCATAAGCAATGGGTTATAGTATTTTCAAGGGGCTTTGAACCGGCCTAGGAGTATTATAACCTAATCCCTTAGATCTCGGAAGAGACTAGGATAGGATTTCAACGACTAAAAAGGGTGTCTTTATCAATAGGGTAGGCTGTCCAACATCGTTGAGTGAGAGCAGATGCCTTGACATCCTATTCTGTTAGGTTCCTATGAGAACATTTTAGGAAAGCCCTGTCGAGTAAGTAACAACCAGGTAGCTTAAATCTGCCTGAGAGATAAGTTTAACATCCTTAGATCAATCCCTACCATTCATTCCATTGAAAGCTTGTCACGTGAGGATTATCTTCTTTTTATTTATTTATTGTATTTTTACCATTTTCCTTTGCCATGCCATTTCTTTTTGTTACTCATACACATTTCATTTCCCTCGGCATAATCATTTGTGAATACCATTAGCTATACTTACTTAATTTAGAATAGTGCATAAATTTTACTCAATATCCTTCCAATCCCTGTGGAGACGATACTCACTCATCACTGTATTACTTTTGCGATTGTGTATATTTGTACATTATTTGCGTATAATTTTATAGTACTCGCAATACGCGAACAAGTTTTTGGCGCCGTTGCCGGGGATCGAACCCGGGTTATCCGCGTGACAGGCGGAAATACTCACCACTATTCTGTTAGGGTGTCTTTATCATGCACATGTTCTACAAAGAACAAAAACTCTCTCCCAAAGAGAACAATACAAATTTACAAACTTACAAGGAAATCCTCACAAGGTAGATTGTTTGCACAATTCTAGAACAAAGAAAAGAACACTCAAAGATGAATACAATTGAGCACAATATGCGTTCTTGAAAGCAAAATGAATATTGAATGAGAATAGGCTTGAAATGCTCAAACTTGAGGTTTGATGCTTTCTCTTTGATTCTCTCTTGATTCTAGTTGCTTAATGTTTCTTGTCTTTGATCAATGGCTTCTAAGCTTGCTTAAATACACCTTGAATCACTTCTGAACGTTAGGGATAATTAATGAAGATAATATAGCCGTTTAAGTGTGAAAACATTTAATAAAAATGCTTGGAGCGTGGGGGAATCGGTACCCTCTCATAGGGAATCGGTTTCCTAAGTGTAAAATTCAAATATTTCTACCGTTGAATAGGGGGAATCGGTACCCCTATGGGGGAATCGGTTCCCTCCGAGCATTCTAGAAATCTCGGAGCCAAACCATTCAGGGGGAATCGATATCCCTTGGGGGGGAATCGGTTCCCTCTGAGCAATCTGGAATTTTTGGCTTTGAAATGATTCGAAATACTTTGAAAGATTATTTTGAAATTGTTTTAAGATTAAAACTTAATTTTACACTTAAGTAAGGATTAAAAATGATTTTTGAAATATTTGGAGTAATGTTTTGATATTCGAATAATTATATCGAATATACTTAGAAAATCATTTGGAAAATCTTAAAATTTATTTAACTTAATTTGTTATATCGAAATATCAAAATGTTTTCAACATATTATCGTAAATTTTGTTGCAATTGATGACGGTGTAATTTTAATAATATTAAAATCGGTTTTTAAAAAAAACTAGTTTTTTTAAAACCGAAACCAGTTACACCGGTTAGGATATCCGGCCCTCCAAACCGATTAGAAACCAAACCGGTTATTTTATAAATCGGTTTTTTTCTATGGAAAAAAACTAGATCAAATAAAAACTGATCTAGATCGAATTGAAATCCGACTTCTGTGCAACCCTACTTCCTGCCATCCGCTGTAGCCACGATTCTCCTGCTTTCACTATGACTGTCATCTCCATTTAACTATAGCCACGTACTCCATCATTTCAAATTTAGTTGAAGGCACCAACAACCACATGCAAATTAGGAAGAAAGAAATCAAGTCTAATATTTTCTGTTTTTTTTTACTGTAATATGTTGAGAAGTTCTGCCAAAATGTTACTGAAAATATTATTATTATTTTAATATTTTCAGTAAAAAAAATTACTTAAAATATTATTTTTTATATAAACATTAATGTTTTTCAGCATTTCTGATAAAATGTTTAATGTTAACATTTTCGATAGAAAAAAATAATTTTAGGTAGCGCTTTATCAGATATGTTAACAATTTCGATAAAACACCCAATAATAACATTTCCGGTAATGTCAAAGTCAAAGGGTTGACTCAGATGAGTTGACTCAGTCCGAGTTGACTCGATCGAGACAAATAGACTCGGTTCAGGCTGGTCCAGACTGACTGAACCGATTATATAAGAAATCAGAGCTGGGGGATGAGCCCTACGCGCACCCGACGGTGCATGCTGTGCGTGAAACGCCGACAAGGGGCGGTTCGGTCAGTCAATTACTCCAATGCACTTAGTCACCTACACATCACTACCAAACTATTTCAACACTCAATAGAAGATCAAATTCGTCAAAATTTTAAAAAAAATGGCTGGAATGCTTACCCGAAAAGTGATCGACGAAACTGACGACGTTGACGCGACCTACCAGTCTGGTTTTAAGCGGAACAGGTCGGGGAACACGTTGATGACTGTAGTGAGGCGAGACGATGTCTCGATCGGTCGGAATCAGAGGAAAATAGTGGCGGGGTTTGTCTTTCCCGGTGATGCTTCGAACGGTGATTTACGGCGTTGTTCGGTGCAAGGAGGCTTGGGTTTTGGTCGCCGACCGATGGGGAGTCGAATGGGGGTAGCAGTGAGTTCTACGATGGCCGGACGGTGAGGATTCAATGAGGGCTGGTAAGGATAGGGTTTGGAGTTGAAAATTTGGGGCTTTGGTTGTCAATGGGGGTTTATTTTTCGATGACCATTAAAAATGAGATAATTCAGGGTTGAGTCCCTAAACTTCCCTCAGATTCCAACACTGAGTTGTAACTTTTCCAAATTTGAAATTTGGTTCTCAACTTTTCTCTTGTTACTACTTTAATTCGATACTTTAAATTAATAAAATTTAACCCCTAAATTGGGGTATGATAGAAAAGGTAACGATAACATAATTTATTTTAATTTAATCATGGGAGAATAAGAACTAATCCTGGAAAGGTTAACTTTACTACAGTTCGTATGCATTAATACATGGAAAATTCTTTAACTAAGTTCACATCATTTTATTCATCAACCTAACTATAGCATCAAGCAAAGCTGCTTCCCTTATGTAGTTATTTGTGTCAACTCCATGATGACTCCGATGAGCGCTGTCCATCAGCGATGGCTCAAACATTAATCGGTGCAGCAGCGGAACATTAGGAGTACTTCCATCGGTTTGCCGCAGTCGACGCAAACAACCCTCTCATTAATGCTTCCAATTGCAGCAGCACTAATCCCTGGAAGTATCAGGCGGTTGCAATGGTGCTCGGTTTGAAGACTTTTGATGTAATCATTCAGTGCCGGAACAAAACCTTTCTCCGCCAATTCCGTCGCCCATGCCGTGTATTCTTCTAGGCTTTTCAAAGCAGTATCCGCCTTAGCCCTTGTTATCTCATCGGTTCCCCTACTTATCACGGCCCACCCTTGCTCACTTCCATCGAAGCCGAGCATTGTCAAAATCTCTTGCATAATTAAGTCATTTTTTACGGTCATGCCGTGCTGAGCTCTCGAGTGCCACATGCTTTCGAGCCGTGCCCAGAAGAACCATACCAACGAAATGTCTGGCAATGTATGGCTGATATTTTCTAACTCAATAGCGGTCATGTTTCTTCGGACTTTCTCTCTCGGGTTGCTTTTTCCCATGTAGAGCATCTCAAATTCGATGCTGGCTGCTCTCGCGACGGCTTTCGCTGTTGTCGTGAACTTCCGGATCCAATCCAAATCGTCTCCACCATACAAGCAAATGACTTTCCCTTCTGATAACTGCAATTCATAGCAAATATAATGGCTCACAAGATTAAAAACATGGATTTGTTATATGTTCCAATCAAATTCAAGCAGGGTTTTGTAATAGGACTTGCCCAATTGTTTATGTTGGGGTCAATGGAATCTGCCAAGAGTTCAATCCTCCATGTTTCTCCTTTCCAAAGAGCTTCTTCCCTCAGCTTGGTGAAAGGGTATGCCGAGCTTCCCCAAATAAACAGCATATGCATCGCATTATGGTTCACGACTTTTCCTTGAGGGTCCAACACCACTAGCAAAGGCTTCTTGCTGAACCCCCACACCTCTTTGATGTACCTAATAACAGCTGGTTGAATCATCGAAGGGTGAACTACCGAGTGCCATGGCATCATCGCTTGTACAGACTCGAATTGCTTCCTCTTCATGTCATCAAACGGAGTGGACCTATCGACAATCGGGATCCAAATCACCTCGTACTGACTCTCGACCCCTGTTTGCCCTCGTGAGTCATTATATATTTGTTGGAGAATAAGAAGCTCTTTGTCTGGGATCTCAAGGTCCGAAATGAGTAATAGCACACTCTTTCTCCTCAGCAATTCAATACTAACCTGTAGTTTGTTACAAGTGATGCACATTGTTTAAAATCATTTGAGTGTACTTATCTGCAGTTTGGTTATGCTTACCCTTCTCTTGGAAGTTCCATCCCAAAGTGGCGGCTGGTCATCCTTGGCGTAAATCAGAGCCTTCAGAATCTTTATATTATCAATATGTGTTGCTTCAAAGAGGCGGACCAACGTCTGAAATGCTTCGATGTCCTTTCGTTCATCTGCATCAAGTTAACAAAGGTTTGCTATATTGATTTATGGCAACGGTCCGTATAATTTCATGTGTAATATTGCAAAAAGGATGACTTACTAATGCGTTTACGACATTGATTGAGCTTCTCCACAAGGTCGTCGTATATGCCATTGATATTGTGTGTCAAACTCGACAACTCCCATGAATCTGCAGTCGATGGTAAGAACCTAAGGGAAACATCAAACATTATATGAAAATCATTAGTTATGAAACACTTCATGATATATCCATTGTCTAATGGTACAAGAGGCAGGGGGACATACTCATGGCCCATGTTAATGAGGTTCATAATCTGTAACGAGCAAACAACCGTACTCCGGATGGTCCAATAAACAGCTGAGGGGATATCGGCAATAGCGGATGACAATTCCGGGTCTTGAGGACTAATGTACTTGGACGGAAGCTCCTTGAATTCAACAATGCACTTGGCAACCACCACCATCGCATTGATGAGGTTGGCAAGCATGTCGAACTTCGGTTTCAAAAGATCGGCTCGTGCAAGAACTTCAGGCAACTGTTTGAGTAGTGCAACCCCTTTGGCAAGTGGATTAGTGGCGTAAAGCTGAATCACCAGCAATAATTCGCCATAAGTCATTGCAAATGCCGCCAAGGCTAGCACAACCTTTGCATCCCACGAGTAACCTTTAACTATCTGAGCCACTGCTAGAGTTGTCGAATGTGCATCTTCCCCGACCGACAACCGGTAGGTTATCTGCCATTATTATAATATAACAAAAACTCAATTAGATTTCTTTGTAGTAGTAGAGAAGATGAAGATAATACTCAAACCTCGCAGGAAATTCTATTTATAGTGACTGATAAAACGTCCATCAACTCATCAAGGTTAGAATAAGGGAGAGCCCTTTCATCCGTAGCATCATCCACTTGCTTGAGTGCTCCCTATGCAAACAATGTATTAATCATCATACATATTATATAAAAAGACATTCACTAAGGCTATAACTTGAACTGTTGTTACCGGAGTTGCTCGTCGAAAGATGTCCTCGACTATATCGAGAACAGGTTTCATGTTAATTTCGAAACCAGCAAACTCATGGGTTGCCTCAATTAGCTTGCCCATCGCTTTGCCACCTGAGGTTGAGAAAATATGAGGCTCGCTCCTTCCATGAAATCCTGATGACAATTCCATAGTGTTAAAAGAGATGGATTGTTTAGTGAAGGGTGAGTGTTGGATAAATATGTGAGGGACTCATACGCCATATATAGAGGCAATTTGGAGAGGAATTTCTTCCTTGCTTCGAATGAGGTTTAAGCTATGAAGTGCTACAGAGGATTGGAATTTTGAACAATGGTTTCGAAATATCTTTGTCCCCAGCAAGATCTTAACAGAATAAAGATTAGTGATTCCTAGACAAGGCATTTCCAACTTACGTTCATTGTTGAATCTTGAATGTTAATGCAATAAACTGTCTTGGTTTTGTTACAACTCTATTACAGCTTACAATTCTCTTCGGTACCCTAACATTCCACCTGGTCCATCTATGCTTTCTGAACCTTTTCACTTTCCTATTTATTTTATGTAGTAGACTCTTGTTGGCATACTGTGTTTAAATATAGTTAAGGGCTATTTTGTATGGATTCTGAGATTAGTATCAAATACTGATATATTTTATCCGAAAAAATGTTGTGTGCAATGTGTATGCGATTTTTACTAACAATTGTATTAGGAGAGGCGACTAGATTTATTTTATTTAGTAGAGATATATTACATTTTTAAGATAAATATCATATTTAAACTCATATAAGGCGAGATAACATAAAATTCACGATCAGTTAATATTTTCTTTTAAATAGTAGAAAAAACGAGTATTGATTTATTTAGATTTCAGATATAATATGTTTAATATTTTTAAAACTTTTCATATATATGACAGTCGTCACATGTTGGAATATATGTGAAATATGTTACAAGAAAAAATAAAATAAAATAAAGAATCCAGATACCTTGGTGGACAGTCTTCCTCGCAGTGTAACAATTACAGTTACAGAAGGAACCTTGCGTCTTTGATGTGGAAAGCTAAGATGCCTAGAGATGAGATGGTGACAATACTTTCACCCAAGCTTTATTTTGGTATCTGGTATCTTATTTGCATCTTTTCATTTCTGCTTTCTTCAAAATATTAATAGATATTATTGATTTAATTTATTATTCCTAAATTTATTTATAATTAGTTATTATTATTTTTAAAATTATTACAAGATAATATTCATTCAGAATTCTTTTAACCAACTGACAACGTGTATACATTTATAGACGATTACTTAAACTTAAAACCTCTAAAAAAAAATAACATTCTATTATATCATTTAATCCACTTGAAATTTCATCAATTTGTTACGTAAATTTCAGAGTTTTAAGAAATTAGCTAAAAATGTATTGATCAGGCATATCACGTAAAATAATGGTATACCATGTCGATCACATTTTTAAGATCGAACACGTATGATAGGACATATCTTTATGATTAATTTAATCAATTCTGTAATAAGATAAAAACATCTCACATATAGTAAAATCTGATTTTATTCTTTTAAAAAAAATTGCAATAAGATATGTTTGATTAAATTAACTTTATATTCTTTATAACTTTATATTCTTCTATTAAATATCATAATCTTATATTTTTGATTAAATTAACTAAACAACTAATACAACTTTTCATGTAAATAAACTGTAATTAATCCAACTCATCATATTAACTGCACATAAAAAAAAGAAATTTAAACACGAGAATGAGTAGCAAACAACAAATCGAGTCGGAATCTCCCATTTATATTAATCATATGAATTATTATTAGGCTTTATTTGTTCACTTTTTTTGGTATAATCTAAGCGTTGTTTACCAACCTGGTCTTGAGCGTCACCATCAAACCATTTTTCATGTAGAGTGTGGTCGTCAGCTTTGGTACAACACTGTGACCTTCAACCACCTTAATGGAGTACCTTAAAAGAATCGAAGCAGCCACCATTTTCATCTGAGTGTAAGCAAACTTCTTCCCCAAACATAACCTCGGACCGGCATTAAAGACGGCGTATTTGAACTGGTTTGCACTCACAAACTTCCCATCTTTGATCCACCTCTCTGGCTTGAACTCCAAGCAATCTTTACCCCATATGTATTCAATACGTCCCATTGAGTATATGCTGTGGAAGATTCGAGCACCCTTTTTAACCTTTGTTTCATCGGGGAGTACATCGTCTTCTCGGACTTGTTTCATTTCAAACGGCACCGGTGGGTAGAGCCGTAGGGATTCAGATAATGCTGCTTGGAGATAAACCATCTTTTTCAATTCCTTTTCTGTGAGAACTCTTGAGTCATTATTGCACTGAGAATGGCATAAAATATCGTGGATTTCGGCCAGGATTTTGCTTTCCACATCAGGGTGTTTTTGTATTAGCCAGAAAAACCAGGCTAATGCAACCGAAGTTGTGTCTCGACCTGCTATGATGAAACTCACGCAGAAATTTCTCAAGAAATTACCTGGAAAATGCTTGATTTCACTCTGTATAAGGCTCGACAGGAGATCCGATTGGTCGTTTAAGTTTCCAAGGTTGTCTAGCATGTTACGATGATCTCTCGCAGCTTTATCTGCAAAATCATGAACGACTTTTATAGCTTCCTTGAGCCGTCTCTCAGTTCCAAGCTGGAAGAACTTCAATGGCTTCAATACAAAAGGTGGCATCAAGAATCTTAACAGGCTAAGTTCCATGGCATCTTCAAATGCATTCGCAAGGTAATTGTGTGGTAAATCAAGGGCCAAACATCCAGGATCAACGCCGATAACTGCAGTGCAAATGTTATCGAATGTAAACCGAAGAAGCACTTGTTGTAGATCAAAGCACTGCCCTGAAATAGCCAGCTTTTCCAATAAAATCAACAACCTTTTGTGCACCATATCTTGCATGGTTTTAAAGGAGTGCTCTATAAAGCGACCGGAATGCATCTTCAGCTTCGCAAGTTGCCTTTGCTGCTTCCATGTCTCATCATCCGAGTTAAAAATCCCATCCCCGAGCAGGTCTCGGAATCTCTCTTTGAAGTACTCACCTTTAGGGAAGTTATTAAAATTGGTCTTGAGCATATACTCAATGTTGAAAGGGTCAATTGTCATGATGCCATACGAACCTCCCATCCACATTCCCCTGTAGTGGAATGTTCCTCCAGCTTCTATCAAAACTCGGGTTGCCCAGTTGTATACGTCGTTCATGTGGAAGAAGACTGTCGGTAGTATCCCAAGCACCGGCCACAGCATCGGACCTTTTGTTGTGAGCCTCTGCTGCAAACAACTGAAAATGAATAGCCCCAACAAAGCAATCGAGAAATCCCAAAATGTCAGACCAGAAATCACCCACTTTAGCATTTCCGCCATTGTTGTCATCTCCATAGTCTGGCACAGCACAAGCTTTTGTAATTGTGAAGCCAGTTGAGAGGAGTGGTGGGTAAATTAATGTCAATGAACCAGCTAACTTGACTTTGAAGAGGGTAAAATTATGGCAGAAATTAATAACTGGACTTAAAAAAAAATGAAGTAGAAATTAGAAAATGCTAGTGTGCTTGTCTTTTTTTTTATAAAAAAAAAATTAACATTGAACATTTAATACTTGATTTTAATACTCTACAATAGCTAGAACGCTTCTTCAATAACTCCAAACAACTAATAATCCATTAAAGGGGATAAACGAAACTTTGCATAAGTCGAAGAACATCAAGAAAGTATTCACCAACATCTTCTAGTTAAAATTTCCATTTATACTCAAAGCTTCCATCTTTCTTATTAAATACTAGTCTTATCTTTTGTTGTAATCTTTAATTATAGTGTTCTTAGTACGAGAGTTAAATTTGTGAAAACACATATATCTTGTAAGGATTTTCCTAATTTACAATTTGTGTTTTTCTTTGGGAAGTATTCTTAAGATTTTGAGGTATAAACTTGAAGATATTAAGGGTTACACTTTATTCTCAAAAGTAAAGACAGTGACAGATGATGATAGATAATAATAAGTCTTTCGATGTTTGATGTTTAGGATAATGACCAAGAACATGAATGAGTTAAACAAATTTTGATTATTCACACACACATATATCATATTTAATTTGTGTTGTTCTTTCATATTATTTTATGAATTATTATTTATATAATAATAATATATAATTCTTCATATAGTCACTGAATCGATTGATGACACATCAACATAAAAATTTAAAACTAAATGTATTGTTAATAACATATCATCATCTTATTCACTAACAAAACATTTGTTGAACGAAAAAATATCGTTATCTTATTCACAAACAAAACGTATAATTATATATAGTTAATTATAATGAATATTCACCTTTATTTTATATTTTAATTATTTATATCCGTAATACATAATCACATTACGTTTAGGATTTTTTTTAGAATAATACACTTATATAACAATTAATTATTTCCTTTACTATTGAAGTTGTTTGGCTACGAAAAGAATTGATACTTTCAACTGCATTATGAAAATAGGAAAGTGATGAGTTGATACAAAAATATTTTTGAGAATGAGCATACATACATCAACAATATATAAAAAAATTATATGGAGTAGATACAAATAAAATTTCAGGATATGCACCATCAGTAAAATAAATAATTAATAAAAAAAATTCGGACTTCAAGGTGCTCATGTGCCTACTCTAAGTATACTATTGATCCGTCACTGAGTTGACAACATTATTAGAGGGAAATATTGTTTACCATTTTCAGTAAAATACATATATTGATACCGCGAGCTCTGATAAAATTAGACCAATAATACAGATGAAATAATTAATTAGTAAAATAAGACACCTTCAAATTCTAACTGTATTATCTTCGTAGTTTTGCTCTGAATCACAGTTATAAATTGATGGGTCATACTCATACTTTCCATGAAAATGGCGAACAAAATTTCAACCACTAGTAGATATCAATTAACTTACTCATCCAATAAAGAAAGTTGTTGAACTTCTAAAATTTACAAATAAGATTTAAGAATGGTCTTTATTTTGTTATTTATTTAGTAACCTTTCAAACATTTTGGTTTCATAAAAAAACCTAAATGTAATGTGATTGCATGTGCTGCCATGTTCCTTTGATAAAATTGACCTTATAGTATAATGATTAAGAACGTAGTTTACCTTAAGGGTGTAAATGAATATAACGTTTGATGAATTATTAGTGAATTGGTTGTATAATATTCACATATGTTCGATTATTAAGCTAAAAAAATGAGTATAAACAAAAAAAATTATTTAATAAATAAACGGACATGAATATATGTGTATTCAATTCGTTTATGTTCACAAACAAGTTCGTTTATTAACTTATTCATAAGCTTGGTTATCGACTAGTGTATAAGCTCGTTTATATGTTATTTTTTCATTTTAAATATTGATAAAAGTAGGGACTAAATCGAACATATGTTGAATTTTAGAGTTTAAATTGTGAAACTTATGAAATTTAAGGACTAGTGGTGTAATTTCACTATTTTAGTAAATATTTTTGTGAATGCTAAACAAAGATATTCATAAACGTTAAACAAATATGTTTGTCAATGTTGGACAAACATATTCATGAATGTTAATTGAACATGTTCAAGAACATTAAACGAACATATTCAAAAATAAATAATTAAACACGAACACAATAGAAACAACAAGCAAATTGAAAAAAAAATAGTTGAAACTGAAGAGACGTTTTCCAAAATATACGTGTAATAGAGCATGCCTATCTTGATCTTCACTACATAGATTTTGGAAGAAATCTCAAAATAAAAGGAATTGCTATCAAAATAAAGGAATTGATCTTTTATAATATAGTGATTGAGAACGTTTGATAAACTACTAGTGAATTGTTTGTATGATATTTGTTTATATTCGATTATTAAGCTAAATAAATGAGTATGAACAAAAAAAAATTTCATTAATAAATAAACGAACACGAATAGAGGTCCATTCAGTTCGTTTATGTTCACGAACAAGCTCGTTTGAAGGCTCGTTTACTGACTCATTCATAAGCTTGTTTATCAAAATGTGTGTAAGCTTGTTTATCCGTTTCTCTCCTTTTTTACATTTTAAATATTGATGAATGCATGGATCAAATTGAATATATGTTGAATTTTAGAGTTTAAATTGTAATGCCTACAAAATTTACGGACTAGTGGTATAATTTTACTATTTGGGTGAATATGTTCACAAACAAAAAACGAATATATTGACAAATGTTAAACGAATATTTTCAAGAACGTTAAAACGAACATGTTCACAAACATTAAATGAACATGTTCGCGAACGCTAAACGAACAACTTAAAAAATAAATAATAGAACACAAACACGATATTAAAAATTTAAACAAATACAAACTAAAAATGAACGCCTCGTTTTTTTGAAATAAATAATCAAACACGAATATCGTCTTGTTCGTTCAAGTTAATTCATTCAGACTCCTATTGTTTATAAACTATCATAGTTTTATTATTTTTCGATTGGTGAACTTATATTATATAAATATCTCTAATTTGGGTTGGTGACATTGATTAATCAAGTGTAATCAGTTTACTTTTCTATTTTAAATAATAGTTAATAATAGGGTAAAGTATAGTAATGGTCATTGAACTTTTCTAAAGTTTTCATTTAGGTCCCCCAACTTTTAAAACTTTCAATACAATCCTCCAACATTTAGTCTGTTTGCAATATAGTCCCCGACGTTACACTGTCGTTAGTACGTTTGAAATATAATCACTGAACTTTTTAGGAGATTGCATTTAGGTCCCCCAACTTTTAAAATTTGCAACACAATCCTCAATTTCAATCTAAACCCTAAATTCCTTTTCAATCTCGAATTTCCTTTTTCGCTTCTCTCCTCTAATTTACATCGTAACTTTTCAGTCGGGGAAGCATGGGAAATTATAATCTAACTTTGAATTATATGGAGGTGTTGACTTGAATAAGGGTACATTGAGAGAAGACCCGACCAAGGGACTATCAGAACCATCAATGATTCAAGGTGTAATGTTAGATACAAGTCATCTCAGGTGAAGCATAGATGTTCGATGAAATGCTTGTGAGAAAAAAATAGGGTTAAAAATGTAGAGTTGACAAATACTACTACGATGAACTAAGTATCATTGTTGAAAGTCACCAACAAAACTGGAATTATTTTGTATAAATAACATATAATAATTTATTCATTTAATCCTTGTGGTTAAAGATTTTCCTATAGATGATAAAATATAATTAAATCTCAAACAGGGCATTCACCTCTCAGTCTCTTTTGCTCACATGCACTCTCGTTTTGTTTTTGTTCTTCAATTTTCCGCCATGTAAAATTGTAAACCCAAGCAGTGCTCTATTTTTCAACTTTTTATTTACAAAGAAAAAATGGAGGAAGAATTACTGGAACGCAACATCGATTGCATTTATTTCTTAGCTGTAATACCCTAATTTTGTCCGGACCATTTAAATTCACTTGAAGATGTTCGAGAATTAATTTGGAGGTAATTGTGCTCAAATGAAGATTTAATTCAAAGGATGAACGGAAGCTTGCATTTGGGGATAACATGCAAATCAAGAGACTTTGGCTTTAATTGGATTGATATCGTATACGTTTCATTTTTTAAACCGAAAGATAAATTAAAGTCAATCCAAAACCCGAATTAAGTGTCTAAAGTCCACTTACAAGTATTTATGACCCAATTGCAACCCAATTATATCAAGGCCCGATTCAGCAGCTTGATCCAGACCCGGTTGCAACAATCTGACCCGGGCTGCCCATGCCATTCCCACGAGCACCCCACGTGAAGCCATCAGGGGTGTCACTCGCACTCAACAACTTTGTTTCCCATGCTCCATGATGCACGAGACTCCCAGAAGCCTGCCAGCACCTCAATCGAGCAGCTCCTGCTACCCGTGAGCAATCCACGGTTCAATTCCCCATCTCGTGCCCATACTCTGGCACCATCAGAAATGGTTAGAAAACAACAAATAGAGGGGAACAACATATCATGGGGGGGAGAAAACAAAAACAATTTTAAAAGCCATTGGGGAGAGATCGATAACAGTGAGGGTTCTCAGTTTTTGAACATAAAAAAAGGAAAAACAAATAAAACAGGAGGGGGAAGAGCAAGCAGCGGGGACGGTGACAAACAACAAGGAAAAGGAGACAAAAAAGAGGCGAAGGCAACCATTCGAGCATGAATTTTTCATCAAAAACAGTAGGGGTTTTTCTTTTTTTGGTTACCCTATTCGAAACAACAGTGGGAAACAAACAGAGAAGCAATGTAAGGAATTTACCCCTCTATTTGAAATCAATAAGAAATATTTTTATCTGATTTTTTTCATTCCATACAGAAAGAAAAAGAATGCATTTTACTTCATCCACATTCGAAAACCATAAAACAGAATCCACCATCTAATAAGTAAATCTAAAAGCCACGCATATTTTGAAACAATCGGAGAGATTTATTGGGGATACCTTCGTTTCT